TGACCAGATTGCCTCGCTGAGGATCATGTTCATAGTGGAACAATCCATCCCTGGAGAGGAACTCTCAGTTGATTGTCAACTTCCTTGACTTCGAGAAGGTCTTTGACAGTTGAGTATAGACCGAGCAACGCTATGGGCTTTTGTTTGGGTTTTTAATTTTTTGCACTTCAGTAAACCAACATCGATAACCACCCAATCCTTCGAGAAGAAGTTGAAACAACAGTTAAGGGAAGACCCGGGTCGGCGACCCAAGGCAATATCGATACAATTTTTCAAACTATCCAACTTTTGTTTTTTGCGGAAAAACATCCTTCGACATCTGTTCTATCGAGTCAAAATGAAGAAACTGTTGAAAAAACACACTAAATGACCTAAAATGGCGTTTGAAAAGTGCAAATTGCTTTAAAAATCCTTTTAAAAATCCCTGTTTTTTCTGTTTTTCTCAAAATCTACTTTTTGACATATGTGACCTCCTGGGTGCAGGGACTTTTCAAAAACTACAAAAGCTAGAAGCTTCAAATTTGGTGTACAGGTGCTTTAAGATCGATTCTGGGGATCTATGAAAGGGAATTGGGAAATATTGGTAACTGGAGGAAATATTCTATTTTTTTGTAATATGTACCCCGAAATTTCGTCAACTGACTCTAGGGGGTCCACTGACTTTAGGCTCACTTTTTTAGTTTTAAAGATAGGTCAAAATCCTTTCATAGATCCCAAGTTCATATAGGTTTGTACTTGTGTGCTATATTTCAGGCTGATAATTCAATATTGACTATGAAATTCTTCTGCACTAAGAAACTGGTTTGAAAATCCAAGATGGCCGCCACAGAGACCCATTTTTTTAAAAAGTTCAACAAATTCACCCCTAGTACATCCTATTTACCTATGAACTTCTTGCACAATTACTTGAAATTGAATAAAAGTCATTCGTTTAGAAAATTTGTCCGGAAGTGTAGGCCTAATTCTCTCCTTCAAGCACTGAAGAAGGGGAAATCAGTCAGCAGTAGTGGACAACAATTTTTCCGGGAGTGTAGGCCTAATTCTCTCCTTAAAGCACTGAAGAAGGGGAAATCAATCAGCAGTAGTGCACAACATCCCAGGAGAATTAATACATGCAGGGGGAAAGGACATGATAAGCGCTCTGACTGCCATCTGCAACTAGACCTGGCAGACAGGAGAGTGGCCAACACCATGGACACAATCGCTAGTGATTACACTCCCCAAGAAAGGTAACCTGCGACTAGGTCACTCCAGTAAGGTAATGTTGAAAATAATGCTGAACAGATTGAAACCACAGGCAGAGAAGATCATTGCCGAAGAGCAGGCAGGCTTTAAGAGCAGGGCGCAGCACAACAGAACAGATCTTCCACCTCAGGATACTTTGCGAGAGGTACATCCAACACCAACAAAACCTATACCACCTCTTCGTGGATTTTAAAAAGGCCTTCGACAGGATCTGGCATACAGCCTTATGGGCAACCATGAGGAAATATAACATCAACGCCAACCTGATCAACGTCACACAACAACTATACGACAAGGCCTCCAGCGCAGTCTACCTTAACGGCAGCATGGGGGATTGGTTCAGGACAACGGTCGGGGTGAGGCAAGGCTGTTTGCTCTCTCCCACTCTCTTCAACATCTTCCTAGAACGAATCAAGACTGACACTCTGGAAGACCACAATGGAACAATCAGTATTGGAGGCAGGACAATCACTAACTTGCGTTTTGCCGATGACATCGATGGATTAGCAGGAGAAGAACAGGAGCTCGCCACTCTAGTAGAGCGGCTGGACACAACCTCAGCAGCCTAGGGCATTGAGCGGGATCAGTGCTGAGAAAACCAAGCTAATGACCAATAACACCAATGGCATCAACGCGGACATCAAAATCAGGGGCGAAAAACCCAGAGAGGGTTTACAGTAATAGAGAGGTGACACTCGTGGCGGCGCTCCATAACAACAGTGCATTGTTTCGTGTATCGCCCGGCACGGGGCGCGAAAACACTTACGTGCGGTGATCGCTGCCACGGTGATGCTCAGGGATGCTGTCATGTCGTGAGAAAATGTAGTGCCGTCTGTAGTTAGCTCACTGGGTTACTAGATCTAGGTCTGTGGATTCTATCGCATATTTTATGCAACTCCCCTGCCTCCCTTGGCCAGAAACTGTAAGACTTATTTTTGGCTTAAGTTAACAAAGATCTAGACGCCTACATTCTAATATTAAACAAATAGACGCAGATAAATTACTTCATCTCTTTAGATCTGACAAAATAATATCACAGTAATAAAAGGAATAATCAGTAAAATTTTCAGCAAATCTACTCGTTCTCGTGTGTCCCTCCCTCATCTCTCTCTCTCCCTCTCTGTCTGTCTGTCTGTCTGTCTGTCTGTCTGTCTGTCTGTCTGTCTGTCTGTCT